TTGTTTTGTGATCGTATTTTATAATTTTGACCTCTATTTGACTATTGGAATTTTCTATTATTCTGATTGTAATTGTTCTAGCTTTCTGGGCCTGATGATGGGAAAGTCCCGAAACCATGTCGCCCCCCTGCTTTTTATGAAACATTAAAATTTAAATAAACATCTTAAAGATTGTGAGTTATTTGTCCCTTTACCCGCCTTCAGAGGTTTTACTTTGATAATATGTACTCACACTGGGTTAGAGAACGTTTAGTTTTTTCAAAAAAATGTGTTTTTATAATTTAGATTTTTCACTATTTTTATTATTATAAATAATAAATAACGCTTTATTGTACAAAAAGCCAAAATAGCTTCATCGGCAAAGCAAAACAAACAAAAGCACAAAAAATATACAAATAATAAAAAAAATCATACAATTCAAAAAAAATTACGTCACTAAAATTACAAATAGAATGAATGGACATTGCAGAATACAAAAAAAGCGTATCAATAAAATGTTACAATTGGAAAATTGTAAATGGATATAATCATTTAAGAGTTACAAAATACTATTAAATACTAGACTTTTAACCAGTGTGTGAGATGATCAACATTTTAATATTCAAAATTGTTTATGATTAAACATCAACAAAAAAGTCGTTTATTAAAATATGATGGTCAAAACCGCATATCGATATCTGTTACCGTTTCGGAGTTACGGGGTGTTTTTCAAAAATGTGCATTTTTAACAAATCGCTGTAAATGCTGTAACTTTTTTGCTATGGAAAATTTTGTATTTTTATAAAAACATTTACAAAGCACTTTTTTACGTAGAATTTAACGGTTTAAGTATAATTTTTTTAATATTAATAATTTAAGAGTTATCCACAGAAAATTTGATTTTTTATAAGGTATATTTTTAAACCGTTGAAAAGAATTTAAAATTATTTTTCCAAAAATATGGCATACTTGATATTTTGCTCAATTCTTCTTTGAGATATAGGGTTTTTAAAATTCGCCCACTTTGAATAAGTAGGCTTTGAACCGCGCCGGCTGTAATGCAAAAAATTCTAGGTGTGAGCAGCAATTAAAACGAAAATAATATTTGCAATGAGAGATGAACAATTTTATAACAATTTATACTATATTTAACAAAATCAACGCATTTAAAGTATATCTAATGAAAATAAAAATTTATAGCAAGAATAGATTCCTCTTCGCGATATAGTTTTTAAAAATTCGCCCTGAAAAGGTAGACTTTGAAAGGCGTCGTGCCGGCCGGTAATGCAGAAAAGGGCTTACCGGTAATTGTCAGCAGCAATTAAAACGAAAATAATATTTGCAATTAAATATACAGAAATACCGGACCGTTTCTGAGCATTTCTCGCGGAATTCATTAACTCAGTGGGGGTGAAAGATCATACTAGTATGTACATTTTAGTATACATACTAGTACATACTATACCATTAAATTCTACGTAAAGAGGTGCTTTGAAAATGTTTTCTTAACAATACAAAGTATTCCCTAGCTAAAAGTTACAGCAATTTGTTAAAAATGCACATTTTTGAAAAACTCCCCGTAACTCCGAAACGGTAACAGATATCGATGTGGGCTTTATACCATCATTTTGTTGATAATAATTGAGCTCCAGACACCGATATTAGTTTTCGTCTATCTCCTATAGAAAAGGGTGTCTCCCTTTAAAGATTGATTCTCACTCTACCTTCCGTTTCCATTCCATATCCGTTCCGTATTTTTCTTGTATTGACGATATACGTAAGCTTCCGTTCCGTATCAGTTCCATACTTTTTATTGTACAATTTATTTAAGAAAATTTTACTGTAAAAAATTGTATCTTTTGAAAAAGGTAATAGATTTAATTAAGAGGCGAAAGAATAAATATCAGCAAAATTTGAACAGAGCTGGTACAAATGTAAGAACTTGACAACACTGTTTTCGATTTGCTTCAGTCCGTCCGCCAAAAAAATGTATGGAAGGAAAGGATATGGAACGGAAGGGAAACGGAACGAATAGTGTGCATTGTCATATTCATTTACATGATATAATATTTTATGTAAACGGAAGGGAACTGATATGGAAGGTATAGTGAGAATCAACCTTAAAAGTGTCTAATTTGGCCCACCCTGTACAGACGAAAAACGGGGCATTTTACTTGAACTGAATCAAGACGGAAGGCTATCTAGAGAACTAACGAGATCATTCAGTTCTGCAACAAAGCTGTTGTTTTACCTACACTGAAAAAATATACTTAAGTAAATTTACAAAAAATAATATGGATATATTACAGCATCTTAACGACCGGCTTTTAAACATCTAATATTTTTGCGTAATTTTACAAAATTGTTTAGAGATATTTAATGGTTATTAGCAAAGATACGATTTTCACAAAGTTTTGCAATACAATTTTGTAGTAAACAGGTAAAACTTCCAGTGTATAGGTTAGTTTTTAATCCGCCTTACCTGACAGGTAAGACGTTATGTGTAGACACGGCTTAAGACTCTTTTTCGTTATGAGAGTTATCACATTCTTTTATAGCTATTTTATTGCAGTTATTTAAACAATATCTTGTCTAAATGTTTTTATTTCTATGGCTAAACAATTTATACAATACAACTTTGATAAGAAAATGTTTATCAGATGACACACAATCAGGTAATAACTTTGGTAAATATTTGGTTTGAATATTTTAGATATTTTAGTATTAATATTTTTATAAGTACATATTATATGTTTATCTCATCTCCAATAAATACGCACAAATTTACAGGATGAGCAAATTTAGAAATTATTTATATATTATACTATCAAAAGAAAACGGCGTCAAAGACGACTGGGGAATGACAATCGATAATAATTTTGACGAGGTCAAGCCCTAGACGTCATTTACTTGGCACTTACTGCCAGTTGGCCTTAAGAAGATTATGATTTATTTTTATATTGAGTTAAAATGATTTTTAAATGGTGTAGTTTAAAATTCCAGAAAAAATATTTTTTTGAAAATAGATTTATGTGTCTAGAGACGTTCTATTCTCTTTTTAATTTTTCTATACTTAATTAGTTATAATTAATAAAAAGTTGACATAAAACTTCTCAAGAATTAATACTTAATTCTTGAGAAGTTTTATGTCAACTTTTAGTAAATGACCTCGCCAAAATTATCATCGATCGTCATTCCACAGCCGTCTTTGATGCCGTTTTTTTCGATCATACGGCACAAGGCTCCCACAAAAATCTAAAATCACGCCATATTAGTTTCTGTCAAACGAATTCTAGTTTTAAAAGTAACCTAAAAACTATTTTTTATTATAAATATTAAAGTGGAACAGTACAAATTTAAAACAATAAAAAACTACACAACGAAAAAAAAAAAGATTTTAAACATAAAACAGCACAAGTGGGATATGATATAAACAATAACAATATAAGATCTGTGTATAATCTGAAAAAAAGATGCTGAACTTTCACTATTCCATTCACAAAGATTTGTTAATTTTAGCATTGCAAAACTTCAATCCCATGTTCCTCAAGAATAAATAGTAGACTGTAAAAAATCTAGGCTTCTTTAGGGATGTGCAAATATATCGATATATTATTGAAAAACTATCGATACTTTCCCTTAACGATACATACATCGATATTATTAAATTTACTTAACATTAAATTACTTTTTAATGATAGGTTTTTGTCAACCAAAACAAAATAATTATTTTTTTATAACTATAGGTATTTTACGACTATTTACAATATTCAATATGTCATCATAATTACTATACGATGTTCATCGAAATACAGGGTGTCCCACAAATAAGTGCAAGTATTTTAAGGGGTGGTAGATCAGGCCAAAAGAAACATTTTTTCTCTCATTATCATTTTTAAAATAAATTATGGATAATAACCGAGTTATTTAACTTTGAAAATTTAAAATTAAGTATTTTTTTCTAGAAATTTAAAAACGTAAACTTATAACTTATCAACATACAGAATGTGGATAACATAGGAGATGGCAACATTGCATTCTCTCGAAGCACTATAAACAAATTTCCAGAAACTGAACAAGCGATACTCAAAAGTTTTTCAATATTTTCCGGAAAATGTCAAGAAAAATATGAATATCCAACATTTTTTTCGCAAAAAAAACTCGTGGGCATGTTTCTGGCGTCAAAATACTTGCACTTATTTCTGGGACATCCTGTATATTCATCATCGATCATTTTATTATTTAAAAAACTGTAGAACATGATTTTTTGAAAATATATTGACATATCGACATTTTTTTACAGTGCGTCAAAAAATCGATAGATCGATCTTCGTACTATAGATATTTTTTTCCACATAGCCCATCACTAGATTAACGTATGAAATAAAATAACGGCACAAGTAGTAGAATCGTAAACATAATAATAATGATTATTTTGAACTAGTTCACAGTTTGTTATAAATTGGTCAAGGATATTATTATTGACCATAATATAATCGCAAAAAAAATACATTAATGTATCTAGTTATACAACCAAAAAAAAACTCAATGTCAAGAATGCATTAATGTTTTTAACATAAATATATCAATCAATAAACATGAATACTGATTGAAATAAATTACACAAAACTAGGAGTTGAAGGTCATTACATTTATAAACAAAGAAAATAAGATTAAAACTGTATTTTTCTATAGTAGTTTCTTTAGAAATAGTAAAAATAGAAGCTGAAACTACTGAAGAAGAGTCTGCAACAAAGCTGAAGAATGAATGTCCTTGAACCGCGTTTGCATCCACGTTCACGCAGAAAACGTGCAAGAAAGAGATAGAAACACTCTCTGTACTGTAAACTAATTATAAACTGATGCTTTCCAAACAATTTTCAGCGCTCCTTGACCTTTTCTCACTATTCAATCTCACCAATTCCTTCTAATTACGTTACCAGCATTCTAAGTAGAACAATACACTCATCTAGTCTCATTTTATCACTAAAAATAACTGTTAAACCTGGGAGAGTACTTACCTGGGTACAGGTGAGGAATAAGGCAGCCCAAACAAAAAATCCAGCAACTCCTTGTGCCAGTTTTGTCTGAAGAAAAATGGGTTCCGAAGGCTGAGAGTGCACTGTCTCTGTAATACTTGCTGTTACGGTTGTGGCATTCGCTACAAGAGCTGCTACCATTGCTGCAGCCGTGCTACTGTCCACTGACACTGGAACTGGTGATGCCATTAGCACTAAATAAAGAATTATAAAGTTTAAAAAGCACTATTACAAAGTTTTCTTCATTGTTTTCTTCATTCAACTGACCCCTATTATTGAACTCAAAAAAATCAATATACTGTTACTTTTAGAGAGACACTTTTACGCAAATATGTAACAGATATTGCAATCTCAGACATAACGAGAAAAATCTTATCTAAAGCACTTTACATTAATAAATTAATCATCCTTTTGACATATGGTCCTACCTGAAAATTGGCAAAACTTATGAATTCTCTCCAAAACAGAATTTTCTTGTTTAAAATCACCACACTTTTTCACTACTGTTCAGGTACACGAAAAACACTAATACTAGTTAGAAACGACATATTTTATTTGGTTTGAACGCGTCATTTTAATGAAATAAGTTGTGCGAAATTATGATGCAAACAAAAAACCACCATATTTTCCTCAATTCGATATTTCGCAGATGGAAAATGTGCGCATGTGTCGTGCCCGTGACCTCATCCAGACCTAATCAAAGAGATTTATCAATAATTATTAGTTTTTCTTATGGAGGGCTTTAGACTCTATAGTTTTTCTCTAAAAATTAGATCTTATCAAAGATAAATTGGTCTAAAATTTTAAACACGAAATATTTTAAGAATAAACGAAGTAAAATGACTTGTTTGTTTTTGAATATGACCACAGAAAATATGACAAAGAAAATAAATAAAAGTACCATGTGAACCGACCTTTACATTTAAAAAAACAGTTAAAAATAGCAAAAATAAAATAGAAAACAATAAATTAAATAAAGTGGTGGAGCGTATTTTTTCAATGTTTCGTTCTAAACGAAAATATTATAGTATTATTTATTAATAATGAAAAAATTATATATGATACATAACATTTCTAAACCCAGCTTTAGCAGTGTCCATGGATGGAGAAAAAAAACATTGCCACAGAGTATTCTTGTAAAAAATGGGGTTATAATGTCAAAATAAAAACAACAAAAACAAAAACATTATTTCAAATAAATAACAATTTGTACAGTATTTAGCCATTATTTAAATATATAATGATGAACACTTATTTTGAGTGCAGAACTTGCTTAGAAAGTGTAGCTGAAAATATTATAATCAATTTAGAAACTAAAATATTTGATGAAAAAAATCTCACTCAAGCAATAGAAGAATTTGCTGATATTCAGGTATTTAGTTTACAATTTTTGATGTTTTTTTGCTAATCTATGAGTAATTCTTTACTTATATTGTATTGAAAGTATGTGTTTAATGTTTAGATATCTGAATACGATACTTTGCCTAAACAAATATGCCAAAACTGTTTCAAAACACTGGAATCTTCTATATACTTCCGAAATCAGATAATATCTTCAGATGAGCAACTAAAAAAACGTTTAAGTACTTCGGTTTGTATAAACGGTGAAGGACCATTCTCGTCTTCCTTACCACCAGCACACAATGGTTTTAAATATGACGTGAATAGTTTTAAAGTTGAACAATTTGAAAAAAAAGAAAATAGAAATGAAACTGAACATTTATTAGAGGAAGAAGTGGATATATCTTTAAAAGAGGAGATAAAAGGAGAAGATGCTGAAAAAAGGTAATTTGGACAAATCTATAATTCTATTTATAAGAATATTATGTTATGGCTGTTCTAGTCTCAAATCAAACGAATCAAGAGATAGTTGTGGTGACCAGAATGATTTTGGGACTAATAAAAGTTCATCAGATGAAGAATTTATTGAAGAATCATTATATAAAACGTTAAAGAAAATGCCATTAAGAAATAAGAGGTCTGTCACAAGATGGAAACAAGATGAAAGACAAGCGCAAGACACATCTGACGACAGTGACTCTGATATACCATTAGAAAGTCTAAAAAGAGAACTAAAAGATCTCGGGAATAATATTACTAGCACTAGAAAAAAAAGAAAAACAAAAGATACACTAGATACTCCACGTCTATGTCCAATATGTGGTAAATTGTTTAAAGCCAGACAGGTTAGTAATGTCATACAATTTTTAATTATAATATTTTTTAAGTGTTTTTTTTAGAATTTTAACTCCCATATGACAACAGTTCATAGGAAAAAGCCTACAAAAGCAGAAAAAATAAGTTGTTTATGTCCAGACTGTGGTAGAGTTATATCAGGAACAAGACAAGTATGTATATAAATTAGTTATTATTATGATTTGATTGATTTAACTAATGTATTTTCAGAACTTTGTAGCGCATAGAAGGTATCATCATTCAGATAAGGCTCAAGTAAAGAAGAGATTCTCATGTGATATCTGTCCGAAGAGATTCTACAGAGAAAAGAATTTGGTGATCCACTTACGAATACATAAAGGTGAAAAAGGTTATGTCTGTGATTTGTGTCCCGATAAAGCATATACGTAAGTTCGAATGGTTAAAAATAAATTTATTTTTAACATATATTTCGTGTTTTATAGTCAAATAGGTGGTCTTATACTGCATAAAAGAAAAGTTCACTTGAAAAAACCGTCTTGTACTTGTAATTATTGTGGGAAACAGTTTTACGAGAAACATTACTTAGAAACACATATTAGGCAGTGGCATACAGGTAAATAATTCATATATTTATTTTAGTTGTTCTAAACAGTAATTTTTTGAAGTGAAACTTCTTTACGCGCGCTGGGAGTAAAAATTTAAGGCCGTGACATCAAAAATATAGATATTTTAATACAAATGTTGTGAAAGTGAATCAAATTATTCAGTGTAAAAAACTATAAGTTACATGTAAAAAACTATTTTCACTAATTTTTTTTATTTTACGGGTATAAAACTGTTACACGTAAAAACTATTTTTTACGCCGATAAAACTATTTGTTACACGTAAAAACTATTTGTTACACGCAAAAACATATTTTTTCCGTGTAAAAACTATTTTGCTTGCTTCATCCGCGTTACCGTAGATGGAGCTGAAGACTTGGTAGGGTTGGTAGGGTTTATATAAACAAACAAAATACAAGAAGCAGAAAAAGGGGCCAAGATGGCGAGAGCGTCTAGCACTCGCCATAGTAGTACGTTTTGTACGCAAATGCTATTCTCTGCTTTTCGTTTGTCAGATTGAGGGTTACAGCACAGATAACACATAATCCAGATGGCTCCTTACGTGTTAAAAATTGTCACCCTAATTTCACTCCAATTTGGAGAAATATTGGAGTGACATTTGAATAATCTAAAATGTTTAGATATCTTTTCTCACTTTTTTGGGAGGTTTTGCTTCTCTTGCACAGATGTCGCTTGCACTTCAGTTGCGTGGTTGCCAAACGTTATATCGAAATATATTTCAATTCATTATGAATATATAAAATTAAAGGTATACCAAATTAAAAATTATGCAATTTATAAACATGAAATAGATATGTTAAATTAATATATAAATATTTAACTTAATACGTTCATTATTATTTTATTAATTTATCGTCACACCAAAGAGTAGATAAGACAAGAGACGACAGTTCGCGCGGTACCTTTCATGTTTGAGTGGTGGGGAGAGTGACCTCGTCTCGCTTGTCCCTTTAAATTTTCGTAACTTTTTCGCGGGAAATTTGAAATAGACTATTATTAAAACTTGCCTGTATAGCTTATAAATAGTTACTGTATGGGTAAAGAAATAAATAAACCCAGTTATTTTAGATAACAGCTGAAACTGTTGGTGCTATTTATAAAACAGCTTAAAAATAACAGCTTAAAAATAACAGGTTTCTTTATTTTACTGCTAATATCTGAAAGAGTATGAGACGGTCATCGCCAGGCGTATTAACGCAGTTGCAAGTTGCAACAATGACGTGCCTCGGTGGTAGTATCTAGGCGTCAAAACATTTCTAAATATCGATTGTTATCTAAAAATACCTCTAAAACGTGTACATAAATAAGCGCTGTTTACAAATTGCGATATAAAAAGCCGTACTGGCCACTGTCTATAGTATATACCTACGGCCCCTGCCCCCTCGATCCGCGTGTAGATCCTGGAATTGCGTAGCTGCAGGGTGCATTTCACTCGATGGGCGAGAAGTTTTAGTTATGATTTTACCATTTGCGGTCAAAAATAGTAATATAAGAAAATGTGTAGTATATTCTTCATATAGTAAAACTAACTACACACTAGAGTTCGGAATTAATTTTACACTTAAACTATGTGTACCCGCGACTTCGTTCGCGTCGAATTAATACTTCTAATGGTGATGATAGCAAAAACAAGAATTTTACTAATATACAAACTGGATAAATTTTCTCACATTTGCCAAAATAAGCTTTCTAACGTCGAGCAGTTTTACAGAATCGTGGTTAATCAATTATCTAACTTTCACCCCGTATGATTTTTGCAATTTCAAAATATGTAAAAAAACAAAATAAAATTATGTGTCCAGGCGTTTTCCGAAAGACTAACTGTTTTTAAATAACAAATATTGTAATATTTGAGGGGCGTTTTCACCCTGTTGGAATTTGAGATCTGAGAAACCCCTCCTTATCGAACCCCTCAACCCCACAGTCAACTATTGTTTGCAAAAAATCAGCTTTAAAACGTCCAGCAGTTTAAGCAGAATAGTGATTACTCAATGGTCATATTTAAGTGAAACACCTTGTATATATTTTTAAAAATCTTAAAATATGTTAAACAACATATTAAAAATATGCGTGTTTTAAGAGTTTTTCCGAAATCCACTGGATGCTGAAAACAAATATATCTTAAAATGACTGCTTTCTCCAACCCGTTGCGAGCCTCCATCGACAATTCCACCGATGGAGAAATATTGAGTGACATTTCTAAATCTCAAAGGTTTGGTGAGGTTATAACTTTTTGAAGCTTTAAAAACACATAATGTATTTAAGAAAACGGAAGAAATATGGTTGCCAAATATAATATTTTCATCATATTATCTCTATTATGAATCATACAAAGGAAAATTATTCATAATATCAATTATAGTTTATTAACGTAGTTTTCATGTAGTTAATGAAATATAAAAATGTTTAAGAAAAACTACACGTAGTTAATCAGGTAAATTATCGTCTTAATTAACTTACTAGATAACCCTGGAGACGACAGTTCGCGCGGTACCTTTCATGTTTGAGTGGTGGGGAGAGTGACCTCGTCTCGCTTGTCCCTTTAAATTTTCGTAACTTTTTCGCGGGAAATTTGAAATAGACTATTATTAAAACTTGCCTGTATAGCTTATAAATAGTTACTGTATGGGTAAAGAAATAAATAGAAACGAAAAAAAATGAGTTTTCTAAATATTATATAAAATAAATTATAATTAGAAAACATATTTGTCGGGGAATAAAGATAATAAAAGCAATATTTTGTATATCGTTGGTAAACAAGATAAAGTGACCAAGTCGATTTGTAAGAAGTGTTTTATTTACGTGTATTTTTTTTACATATGGACTTGAACAAGTGTAATATTATAATGAACACACAATAGATCTATAAGGTCGCGGTGATTAACTCCCCTCCATTCTACAATATCACAATGTGGAGTTTATGTACAAAAAAACAGAGTTGCTCAATTTTTTTTGTAAAAATATATTACAAGCTTCTAACCATGTCTTCGATCTATGGATTACATTTAGTTTAATAACATAATTATATAGTATATTTCTATAAAAATACTTTTCAGGATCCTTTGGAAACGAGTGAAATATTATGTTTGTCGAAGAATAAGACCTATTTTTGTAGTCTTTATAAGCACACACATTGCCACCATCTCGTCTTTACCTGCTACTCGTGTCCTGTTCAGTATTCATATTTAACAATAATTACAAATTAGTACACAACAAAAACGATACTAAAATTAAACCTTAAAAACTCTCAAATCGATAATATATCGAAAAACTCTGAAACACACACTTTAAAAAGGCAAAAATGCAAGAAAACAACTAATCAGATTTGTTTATGTTTAAGCCTGATTAGCACAGCTCAGCTGATTAGCGTCCTAAAATCATAGGTTAGAATAAATAAAATACGCCGTTGTCAGATTTTATCGTTTATCTTTGAAATCGATCAACTTAGTCATTCTGTTTCTTTGATATTATCAGTAAATTACGAAAAAAGAACCTAAACCAACCTAAACTAAAAATTTACATTTCCGTATTAACATACGTTACTTATTATATTCTTCTTATATTATTAATTTATTTTCAGAAAAGCTTGTTTATTTTTCAAAGAAATATACTTGGCAACAGACAAAATGGGACTTGATGGGACCTTTAAATTTTAATATATCTGCGTCTCTCTCGCGAAATTCGACTTCTTTGTTCACTGTCGTCTCTTGTCTTATCTACTCTTTGGTCACACGTCATTTACCAGTTGCCTAATTACGAAAAGTTTCATATGACATTAACCTCAAAAATGATCTTTGAAAACAAACAACAACAAACAGAGCAACAAATGAACAAATAACTACATAATGACTGATAATGATAAGTGATAATAATAACTTTAATGATATGAAGGCTGATGAAGGTAATTATAAACATTATTTTGAGTTTGTTTAATAAAATATAGGATACAATATAACTAAGCAAAATCAAACAATTTTAGACAACCAATACAAGATTTTAGAACTTGACATCGTGATAAACAAATTGTACATTCAGGAACTCGTTTAAATATTATAGGTAAGTAATATTTTCACAAAACTAAACATTTTAGCATAAAATCACAGATAATATATAGAATATTACCTATGATAAAATGTTAAATACTGATGTATAATACCTATGATAAAATGTTAAATACTGATGTATATTTATTCTAATCACATTTAAATTTAAACTCAAAATTTTCATAAAAAGAAAATGATAATTTTTCGTAAATATAAAGTAAATAATATTACATATTTCAGGTTGATTGACGAATACTCTACAGTTGATTAGAGCCCATGATGATGCGAAGATAATTAATATCACCTAACTTCAAGAAACCAACGTAAAGAAGTTTACATTCATAACTCATCTAACCATTATAGGTAATCATTTACAAAATTAGCCATTTTGATTATAATATTAAGGTACTTAGGTACATTTTTATCTTCTAGATCAGTAATGTCGTCATAATTTAAATGAACTCACAGATAGCAATGGGGCACTGCACCGAAGCAGTATTACAAAATATGTGAAATAAAACTGTAATACAAATTGCTCTATAAAATTTAATAGAAATAAATTTATTTATGAAAATTAAGTTATGAAGTTTTATTTTTCCTAGGAAAAAAATAACATTTATATTTTGATCAATTTAGAACATTACAGTTAAAAAAATATGTGTTAGAATAACATATTTTTAATAAAATTGCAGCTTTTAATTTTTATACTTTTTTGCTTTTATATCAATAAGAACTAACGTAAGGAACAATTCATATTTATACTATGAAAACACATGCATATTTTTTGATGTTTTTAAAACCAGTGAATGATGTTGAAATATACTACACCTATTATTCTTATTAACTAACTTTAATTACAAACTTACACATTATTGTCATTGGAAATAAATTAATTTGGATATTCTATTTGTTTAGAAACTTTTTTACCTATTGTAGTTTTTTTAAA